CTGGCAGGTCCAGGGCTGGGGGCGGGACGGAGAGGCAAGGTGGGTGGGGAAAGCGGACAAAGGTTTGAGGTCGTAGAAGAGGGTGGAGACCTGGGAGGGGCCGGGCAAGGTAGAATGGGAACGAGTGAGGGGGGGGATGGGCGGATCGACCACCTATCATTAGAGAGGATGGCTGCGTGGACCTGGGCTATAAATTCGCTATACATTCATAGAAAGTCCTAGTATGAAAAACATTGCTTCCTGGCCCTGTTTCCAACAGCTTACTGCACCCCAGCTTCCATCTTGACACTTGCTAGGTACCCGGCTAAATGCCTCGCTCCCATTTCACAGATGAGGAAAACCGAGGCGCTGAGGGCTGGCTCTGGCTTTGTGTTACACGGCTGGTGACAGCTAACTTGTTAAAAGCACTGTGTTTGATTTAGTTATCTAGCTCAGCTGCAGTTTACATTAAGCCGTCAAAGAAGTTTCTCTTATGTTGTTTCTTTTCTGTGAGAACCTTGCCCTGGGGATCTTGCCAAATTGCAGATTCTGATTCCCTTGCAATCCTGATTTCCCCTCAGGGGTATGGATGAGGCCAGAAGGAGGCTGATTAGGAAGACAGAGGTAGTGTGGTGAAATGGGAGAAGTGGTGAGTCCTGACCTCCTGGGCTTGTCAGTCTCCGCGGCCCTTGGTCCCTCATCTGTTGTATGGAAGGGGGGCCAAGTGTCCCTGCTTGGGGACAGCCTGCGCCGTTGTGCAAGTGTCACCATTGCCTTGTATACGTCCTAGCTGATGCAGGCCCCTTAAATTAGTTTAGGCTTGAAAATGTAGCAAAAGAATACACTTAAAAGGCGCCTCTTCTGCTTGCCTTGCAAGCGCGAGGTTCTGAGTTCGATCCCCAGTACCAAAAAGGAGCTTTTTTTTATTTTTTTTATTTATTTTTTTTTTTTTGAGACCGAGTCTCAGTCTGTAGTTCAGGCTGGCTTTGAACTCACACTGTAGCCCAGCTGGCTTCCAAATGGCAGTGATCCTCCTGCCTCAGCCTCCCAAGTGCTGGGATTACAGGCGTGTGTCACCATGCCTAGCTAAAAAGTGACATTGTTTCACCCCATTCCCATTGGAAAATATACAGAAAAGTTAAAAAA